AAGGAAATTTATACAATGAATGCATACATTAGAAAATAAGAATGATCTAAAATCAATAAACTAAGTTCACACTTTAGAAAACTAGAGAAAGAAGAGCAATTTAAGTCTGAACCAAGCAGAAGAAAACAAATAATTAAAATTAGAGAGAAATCAATAAAATTGAAAACAGGAAAATAATAAAAAGAAATCAATAAAACTCAAAACTGGTTCTTTGAAAAGAAAAAGAATCAAACAGAAATTCTAAAACTTAAAAATGTAAGAATCAAAATTTTAAACTAGGGGCTTCCCTGGTGGCGCAGTGCTTGAGAGTCCGCCTGCCGATGCAGGAGACGCGGGTTCGTGCCCCGTTTCGGGAGGATCCCACATGCCGCGGAGCGGCTGGGCCCGTGAGCCATGGCCGCTGAGCCTGTGCGTCCGGAGCCTGTGCTCCGCAAATGGGAGAGGCCACAACAGTGAGAGGCCCGCATAACGCAAGGAAAAAAAAAAAAAAAAAAAAAAAAAATTTTAAACTAATTGAATAGGTTTAATAACAGATTAGAGACAGCTGAAAGAGAACTGGTGTACCAGAAGATACGTCACAAGAAACCTAGCCCTTCCCTCCAAAAAATACAGAGGCAAAGGGTGGAAAATGCAGAAAAAAGGGTAAGAAATCAAGAGGATTCAGTGAGGAGGTCCACTATTCATTTTAATTGAAATCCCAGAAAGAGAAGAGAGAGAATAGGACATAAGCAATATTTTAAAAGACTGTGGCTGAAAATTTTCCAAAACTGTTGAAAGATACCGACCCACTGATTCAAGATTACCAACAAATCTCAAGCAAAATATTAAAAAACTAAAACTAAGACAGAAAATATGACAAAACTGCAGGAAAACAAAGACAAGGAAAAATTCTTAAAAGCAGCTGTGAATGTGGTGGAGGAGGGGATTATTTTCAAAGGAGCAACATTTAGTCTAATAATTAAGTCCAAGACAGCAACAATAGAAGCCAGAAGAAAGAGAAATGACATCTTAAATGTATTGAAAGAAAATAACTGTCATCCTAGAATTCTATAACTAGCAAAATTATCCTTCAAATGGAAGGAGTTCCACTTCTGTCTGGGTTGTAGGAAACTCAAAAGATAAACACTCTCATTCTAACAACGAGAAAATAGCTGGTTTAACTATAGAATCATGTTTTCTTGAGCACATCAGAGGAAATGGTTGGGGGACACAATGAGTCTTCTAGGGTGCTGGAAATGTTCAATTCCTTGACCTGGGTTACATGGGTGTTCATTTTGTGATAATTTATTGAGCTGTTCATTTTTGTCCTATGCATTTTTCTGTTTTTTATATTTCAAAATTTACAGTTTTTAAAAAGGAAATAAATGGGGTGAAGTGAGAAAGATGGCAGGGGGAATTGTGGAAGGTGAGAAGACTTTCCTGAGTATATCTTATTATACAAGTTTGATTTTTTTTCTTTTTCTTTGCGGTACGCGGGCCTCTCACGTTGCCAAGCACAGACTCTGGACACGCAGGCCCAGCGGCCATAGCTCACGGGCCCAGCCGCTCCGTGGCATGTGGGATCTTCTCGGACCGGGGCACGAACCCGTGTCTACTGCATCGGCGGGCGGACTCCTAACCACTGCGCCACCAGGGAAGCCCCTACAAGTTTGATTTTTAAACAGCATAAATATTTTACCTATTCTAAAATAAAAGTATATAAAAATAAAAGCAAATCCTAATATTGAAAATAAACAAACTAACCAAATTATATATCAGATTAGTAAAAATGACTACACAAACAAAAGAATTATTTCAAATGACTTTAGAACACCATATTTTGATGGTATATCCCTAGGGATTATAAGGACAAAATAAACTACCCAAAGTCTTAAGTGTTTTATTAGTAGAGTAATATCTATATTATTTTTATTAGTAGAGTAATATCTATATTATTTTTATTAGTAGAGTAATATCTATATTATTTTTTATTAGTAGAGTAATATCTATATTATTCACTGTTTTATTAGTAGAGTAATATCTATATTATTATTTGTAAAATTGTATGCATATTTTAGGATTAAACAGATAAATGATTATGTTAATGTTATGGGAAACCAGATTTTTCAGTGGATTAAAGAGATACAAGTATAAAATTAAGAGTTCAGTAAAAATCACAGCTAAATTTTAATTCAGTGTGTGTGTGTATTTGTGAGGGTATCTTAATATCCTAGCTCTGTGCACTGAAAGGACCTAGAAGCAACATCAATCACCTCAGTAGCCATTATCACCCCTAGAACCCAGACTGTGGTCTCTAAAGTCAGTTCTTACTAAAAGCTACGAAGTCTCTTTGGAGGAATGACTGCTTCCATGCCTAGGGCAAGGAATAAAAAAAATTAACCTGGTACATGATGGAATGATAGAAAGCAAGGGAGCTTTCAGTGATTAATGGGATGTTTCAAAAGGAAAAAAGAATGAGTTTAAAGGAGCTTTCACTTAATTACTTACTTTAGGACAATTCGAATATTACTGTGATTGACTGATACATATTAAATATATAAAAATCCATACTTCCATAGTAATGCTCAAAGAAAAAAAGTTATAACAAATAATTTTTAAAACTTAGGGACTTCCCTGATGGCGCAGTTGTTAAGAATCCACCTGCCAATGAAGGGGACATGGGTTCGAGCCCTGGTCTGGGAAGATCCCACATGCCGCGGAGCAACTAAGCCCGTGTGCCACAACTACTGAGCCTGCACTCTAGAGCCCACGAGCCACTACTGAAGCCCGCTGCCTAGAGCCTGTGCTCCACAACAAGAGAAGCCACCGCAGTGAGAAGCCCGCGCACCACAACAAAGAGTAGCCCCCACTCGCCGCAACTAGAGAAAGCCCGCGCATAGAAATGAAGACCCAATGCAGCCAAAATAAATAAATAAATAAATGTATTTTTTTTAAAAACACAAAACTTACTTGCCACTCTTGGCGCTATTACACCAACTCATTACTCTGCAAATTAATAGTTAAAGAGAAGAAACTAAGAATGTATGCTACCTTTCCAGTTGAAATTGTATCTCAGGATATAACTAAGCGCAGTTGATGAGAGAATGCTCTTCTTTATGAAATAATATCAGCTAACAAATGTTAAAGGAGTGATAGAACTAGAAAATCACCATTTTAGTCAAAAATCATCAATGAATGGCAACACCACTAGGTGAAAAGTTGCTGGGGAACTACTTTATGACAGAGGTCTGGCTGTCTCTACCTTAAACCAGTGATCAATTATAGCATCACTAACAGTGGGACAGCCAGACATTATACACTTCCTGAAATGATGCAATTGGAATCATACAGCATCACCTGTAAATTTTTTGTTTTAAAAACTTTTTTACCTGACCCAGTGAAGACTTAAGTTCTATTTTTCAGGAAATACAGGGGATATACAGGATATATACAGGGAAAATACAGGGAAACATATCACGAGGAAACAGTCACAAATCCTGAAGGTAGGGAGTTGTAAAGAAAACCTGACCTGGTATCTTCCACAAGAAAATGTCAAAAAATGGGGAGGAGGGACACACTGTTTATGTTAATTTTTTTGTGTGTGTGTGTGGTATGCGGGCCTCTCACTGCTGCGGCCTCTCCCGTTGCAGAGAACAGGCTGCGGACGCGCAGGCTCCGGACGCGCAGGCTCCGGACGCGCAGGCTCAGCCGCTCCGCGGCATGTGGGATCTTCTTCCCGGACCAAGGCACGAACCCGCGTCCCCTGCATCGGCAGGCGGACTCTCAACCACTGCGCCACCAGGGAAGCCCTGTTTATGTTACTTTAAAGAGAATTAAGAAACATAACCAAATGCACTGGTGGTCTTTGATTGACTGCTACTTTGAACAAAACAGCCGAAAAAAGGCATTTTTTGGAAACAATTTGAGACATTTGAATATGAACTGAGCATTAAATGATATTTGGGAATTACCGTAAATTTCGTTAGGTGTCATAATGGCATTTAGGTTATATGGGAAAATACCCTTATTTCTTGGAAATGCATATTGAAACTTTTGGAAGGGAACTATAATGTCTATTGTTTACTTTTAAGTACTAAAAAGAAGCAAAGATGGCAAAATAATCAATAACTGTTCAGCCTAGGTGATGAGTGTATGAGTACCATGCACCACTATCTTTTTTAGTTTTTTTATTTTTGTACTTTGGAAAATTTTTATGAACAGCAAGAGAGTAAACTGATCAATTTTGACCTTTAGAAAGCTCACTCCCAAGCTTATTGGGTGACAAGAATGGAAGCAAAAGACTCGTTAGATGATTACTGCAGTAGTCATCATGAAGAGAAGTGGGCTGATGGGAGACATTTTGCAGGCAGAAACCATAGGATTTTGATAGGCTCGAGGTGGAAGAGGGCGAAAGAAAGGCGAGCCAAGGCTAATTAACAAAAGCCAATATGTATCCAGTGTTTAGTATATGCCAGTGCAGTGGTTCTAAGTGAGCCACGTGAGCTTAATTCCCGTAAATCTTCACAACCACCTTGTGAGGGAGGCACTGATGGCACCTCCATTTTACAGATCAGGAAACTTGGGCACAGAGAGGTCAAGCAATTTGCCCAAAGTTATACCCCTAAGTAGGTGGCATTGCTAGAACTGGAATCCGAGCACACACGCAAAACCATTCCTG